AATATGTTTCTATTATAGTTATGACATGATTTTATGGTATTCATATTTCATTTCTAATTTACAAAATTAGTCTTGCTCCTATTAACAATTCTATTTTATATATATTTCATCCGTTTCAGAACCGCTTTCCTCCCGGGAATTATATGTTTGTATTATTTTTAAGTAGTTTTATTGAAAGCCTGTTGCTTGAATTGTTATACTGCTGAGAAAGTTATACGATAATCATGAACGACGATGAACTTGCAAGTCTTGAACTGTAATCGTTTTTTAGATTAATAGTTTTATGTCGTCGGCGAATGACAGTTATTGATGTTTTCGTTTATTTTTAGCAACAATATTTCACAAAAGTCTCCTCAATTGTTACAAAATATTCCGACTGGTGCTGTTGGACCGGGTAGAGTGGCTCCACCGATGACCACGACTGCAACACATCCTCCAAATACAAGTCCTAATCATCCTCTCAACTTGAATGGACAAATAATTCAGAGAAGAGGTGTCCCAACGCAGTATACTATTCCCAACAATATAAATAATACTTATGGTGGAGCTTTCAATAATTACCCTTATAGAGGTATGACAAACATGAACATGGGTGGATTCAATCCTTACAATATGTATGGGCAACCAACAAACCTAACCAACAATACACACCAAAATCCGTAAGTCTATATTTTGTTTCTATCAGGCACAGGCTAATAGCCACTAGTACTAAACAATTATTATGTTATCTCTTGTGTATATTATTTATTTTTTGATTACAACTATTAATCGACTAGTTTTTCTCAACAGTTTATACATTATTTAATTAATTAATAGTTGTAAGTTATAGTAAAAATGTAATATATATTTTAGACTATTAGTACTCTACCTATCAGTGGCATAGTGAACATTTTTTATAAATCACTAGCTGAACCCGTGCACTTAGTAGCCCGTTAAAAATCTCTTTTATGGTCCATAGTTCATATTGTGTGTTAAATTAATTTCATGTGTTGATGCTAGTAGTATATTTTTATACATAATGATAGATAGTGGTTAAAATATATTATAATCTTACAACGATATTCAATTTCGTATATCATTATGTAATTTTCTTCGTTTTTTCAATATAATGTTGACAATTTAAATATTCAATTCAATGATATTTAAGCATAACACTTTCTAACTTAGCATATCTTCTACCCATATGTCTAATAAAATTCTGTACAAAATTTTGTCGCAATCAGTCCAGCTGTTTAAGAATGTATATAGGACTAACAGATAAATATATATAAATATATAAATATATAATATATAAATATATATAACCATCACTAATAACACAGAACAATTAATAACCGTCACTAAAGCAACCATTAGTGGTATGTATTTGTATGTTTACAGCCAGCTTTTATATTTATATATTATTATTATAAAAAAAGTTTATTAAATAATTTGTGTTCTTTACTTGAAATATTATTTTTATAAAATTTAGCGATATTTGATTGAAAAATTAAAAAAAAAAACAGAAAATCTAATAAAAAAATAGTTGATGCGGTAAATATTTTTGTGCAAGGGGCAAATAGACGAACAATTTTGTGTAATCACTGTATTGTGTTACGCGGTAAATCGGTGTTCTCAGAGGGGAACATTTCCCCTTGAACAATTTTTTTACCGCGTAAAAGCTGGCTGTGAACATACAAATACATACTACTACCATTTATAAATAAAAAAAAATGTCCATCCTAAAAATAAGTCCAGCTGATCTCAAGAGCACTTGTTTGTTTAAATGGTTTCTKTTGACTACCAAAAAATATGAATATTATTTATTTTATTTTTTACTGGGCAGATGGCGCCACTTTAATTTCATCACACCCTYATCATATTTCTCTAACCCGATAACTTTCTCAATTTTTTCATCCGTAAGAACCTTCTCATGGCAATTACGACCCAAACAAAAAAAGAGTGAGCGAAATCGGTTCAGCCGTTCTCAATTGATGAATTGTTATACATTTTTGTCTCCATTTATATATATATATATAGATTATGCAGGGTATATATTTCAGTATCTATCCATCATAGGTGGTTATTTAATCAAATATTTTAGGGGCTTGACATTTTTACATTTATAAGTAGATTGAGCAAATATAAAAGACAAAAATATAGCACTCGATCTTTTTAAATGAACGATCCATTTTGAATGAAATGCCTAAATATTTAATATCTTTATGGTACTTAAATATTATTATTATTATTATTTTAGTATTTATTGGAATTAGCTATTGTCTATTAATTATTTAAAGGCAGATATTTTTTGTATAAATATGTTTATTAAGTATCTTAATTACTAAAAGAAAATCATCAATTGCTGGGCACTAACTAACAAAATATAAAAATTAGAAATATTGCATAGAGACATACATCACAAATAAAATCATATACCTAGGTATATACAAATAATAATGTACACATATTTTACTATATTATGTCTTATTGTTGTTCTTTTACGACGACTTGGTAATTTCCGCCTCTATGCAGGGTTGTGATCCATTATGAAAAACAGCAAAAATAACTTAATGTTAGAGTAATTGAATTTAATAATTAAAAATCGGTGATCATAATAATATACCATGTGTTCACCAATCTAAGGAACACTGAATTTCTCAGCTGGATAATGTTGGAATAAATCAAATTTTTTTTGACGAGTTAGTGGTATATAAATACACATTTTTAGATATATTTCAAATTGTTAACCCTTTTAGTACGCACAAGCGCAACGCAACTTTTTTTTTTTAAAGCGACCGGTATTTTTGATACCAAATTCGGATAGACTGAATTTTTTAAAATAGTTTTGACCAATTAATTATGGCTCTAAAACCAAAATTGATTGATTGAGAGCCATTCACATTTTAATAAATAATACATTTTTACAATTCATTATAAAATGCATAAAATCATTTATTATTATTTATTATTGGTTACTTTTTGAATATTTTTACGGGGGTTTTTTTTTTATACATGTTATAAATAAGATAAATATAATACGGATATATAATTATTTAATTAAAATTGATTACAAGTTACTACTGTATGCGTAAAAATATGTCGGTATATAATTTTGTATCTTTAATATTTTTTAATTTCTAATAACAACTTATAAGGACCCTTGTATTTAATTTTCAAACTTTTTGAGTCAACAAAAAATGTCGGATATTGATAATTTAAAATAAATTATTCAAAGAAAATTAAAAATTAAAAATGCCTTTAAGTATCTGAGTCAAAATATATTAAAAATTGTATCATGTAGGTATAGAAAAATAAACATTCGTTGAAAATTTCAAATATCTATGATTATTTATTATTTATTTATAACACAATAAGATAATTTTTTGATTACATTTTTTTTTTTTTTTAATTGTTAAGAAAAAATATGAGGAATCTTATATTAAGTTTTCAAATCTTGAATATAAGTAGAAAATTTTTAATGAATTTCTAACTAAATAATTTGAAAATATTCTTAATTTTAATCAATTTAGTAAACATAAGTAGGGTAAAAAGCTACTCAAATTTTTCATAGAAATAGCTTAAAATTTAACGTTTATTAGTTTTTTAGGTACTTAAAAAAACCTAATCAGACTTAATTTTTATAGGCACATCATGCATCTGCTCTGTTGCCTAATGGGTTCAGTCTGGACCTGTGTAGACTTATATTTACACAATTTTTCCSAATCAAATTCAGTCATTTTAGAAAGAATTTTTTTTCATTTCATTTATATTGAAATACTTATATGTTTCAGTAGTAAATAAAACAAAAAAAATTTATAATTTTCAGTGGTGGTATTTTAATATGTAGTTCAAACACATGTATCAATTGTCACAGATATTTGATAATGCAATAGTTTATTGTAAATATCTGTGCCCTAGACAAAGAACAAGTGTGAAATGATGTAAACTAACTCAAATAAAAAAATAGTTAAACATCAGGTAGTCTAATCCATAGAAAATATAATAAGCTAATATTAAAAATTTAAAAATTCATTAGGTATATTACATGGAGTAGAGGTGAACTGTTTGTACAAAACTTACCCCCATRTTGAAACATTTATTTAAAAAAAAATTTAAGCTAGGTAACAAATAATATAAAGTTAGATCATCATAGCTGCCGTGATCATCCGTTCCTATTATTTGTATTGATGCCTTTAAATATACCTAATATCCAAGTTTATATTTAATTTTGTATTCTTACAGATTTGTAATTGCAGCTCTTGAAAATTCTCGTCCTGCTTTTGATTCAATACATTCTGTTGTTGAATCATTTAACTCGGTCAGTATGATGTTAGAGTCTACATTTACTGCAATACACACGTGTTTTCAAGCATTATTAAGCGTAGCTGAGAATTTTACTCGTTTAAAATCATTTATGATGAAATTTTATTCAACTATTGTATCATTCAAATTAGTTCGTTGGTTTTTAACTAAACTTTTTTATCTTTTAAGTAAGTAAAGTATTAATTGTAAACAACATATTATGTTTGCTTAATATAATAATCTACTTAGAAATGGTTAGAAGAGATAGAGGATCAAGTACGGAAGAAGACTTATGGACAGCTTTATCATCTAAAAATAATCATAAAGAAATAATTTCATCTGATGGACGATCTTGGCCATTAGTTGTTTTTACTGGATTGCTAGTCTCTACACCATATCTTGTATACAAACTACTCAATCCAACAACACCAGAATCTGGTTCTATTGTCAATAACACTCTATCTTCAAACAGTTAGTAGAACTTTCATATTATAATTCAACTAAAAATCAATATTTTATAATTTTATATAGGTGGGTCGCAATAACTCGAAGTCGAAGAGGGATAAAGATTTGATTCGAGATATCTAACTAATTAACTGGGGAATAATTTTCTAAGGGAATAAAAAAAAAATTTGAGTTATCACTACTCGACTGTACTTACCTTCATACACAGCATATTGAGGAGTGTTTATTTGTGTGGTGGGATGGTGGTGCAAATGTATAATTTTAATACTATTATTTTTTTTTCTTTGGGTGAGTGGGTCTATTCACAAAAAAATTTCAAYAACAATTTTTTTTAAATTAATTTAATTCTTCATTAAACAAATTTTGACATCATAAAAATTAAATAATTTGATTTCAAATATGTTGGATGTATAATTTTCTGTATTTTTGACAAGTGCTGCCTAAGCTTATTCTATCAAAAGTAGTCTTTTAATCTAAAGTAGTCATTATCAATATTCATACTGTTTTCCTTACTGTTTACAGCGAGCATTACTATTGCACAATGTGATTGGAATAGTACAGATGCAAACACTATTCCTTTGGTGAAAGGAAAATCTTATTTTACATCTCAAGAAAATATAGCATCAGCTGAAAAAACTGGATGGCTCCTTGTCGCTAGCAATGGGCAACATGGATATGCACCTTTGATGGGTTTTAAGGAATTTAAGACTGATAATCGCTCATCAAAGTCTCAAATTCAAGATAGTATGGCCAATGTGAGTTTCGATCCTATACCATCAAATTCACTTGAACAAATGCAACCAAAATTATCAACTCCAGTCACTGATGTACATGGTAATCCAATAGCTCTACCTCAYCCATTGGTAGATAGTGATAAATCTAACATTGGCAAGCAATGATAATCAAAAAACATTTTTATTATTAGTTGTGTATTTGTTATGTGTTCTCTTACATATATAAAAAACTTATCAAATATTAGGAATTTTCAGGCTTTAAATGTAGACATAAAAATAAATATGAACAATATTTATTTTGTTTAATATTTTATTATCAGTATCAAGTCTGAAACATACAAAACTCAACAATACTAAAAATTTGTTTCCATCATATTTGGTAAGGTTTCACTTTATACTTATGATTTTTTATTTATTTTACATTCATTCCATAGTTATTTTTTATGGAAGTAAATCAATTGTATTAGCTAATAAGTCTCATTATATCATTAAAACGAAAATGTTGTTATTTTTTTAKAGATAAAAAAATGTTTGTTGGTTAAGTTTTATTCTTATACAATATGTCTAAATATATCAACATTTTAAAAGATAATTACATTATTGAATTTAAGCAATATATTACATTTATGCTTATTATTGTATAAAACATAATATTAATTTATGTATTATACAATATTATATTATGACGAAACAAGTTTAATTTTTATAGTATATAAAAATATTTTATATGCCATATAATGTACTGATATACTAAATTTCAAAAATAATAAAAAATTATGGAATTCTAGGTTTTAAAAATTGTCTTTTTATAATTTTGAAATTAAAAACTTTTTCTGTGTAAAYATGATGATTTCTGTGATAATAAAAGTGTATTTAAACTTGACTTTAAAATTTAATTTTTGCCCTTGGGCATAAATTAGGGAGAAAAAAATGCCTTTCCCCAAATATTTCTTAACAACCTCAAAGTGTAGTAAATTATGTTATAAATGTTAATTGATATTTCAAAAGATTTTTAAACATATCTAGTGCCGGTAACTTTATTTCAAATCTGTTAAGAAGACGTGATACCTGCATATGCAGGCCCGTCGTAAGACATTTTCCGCCCTAAAGCGAATAAAAATAGTAATTAAATTTCTGTATTTTTTGGAAATTTAATATTACAATTTGCCGCCTCAATTTTTTTAAATGTTATGCCGCCCTAAAGCAACGCATTGGCTTGCTTGTACCCTAGTGACGGGCCTGTGCATATGTTGTGCTTACAAGTGCATAATATAGCACATTTTATGCTCAGCAGAAAACGTGTAGCTTTTTTAATTTAAAATTTAGAGTGAATTGACCCCTTATAAAATTTAAACTAACAAAGCTACACGTGTTTTGCTGAATGTAAAAATTGCTATGTTACACACTTGTAAGACGGAGATACATGCAAGTATTAGGTCCTCTTAAGTGTAATATTATACAACCTCAAGTAGAAGTGTAGAACCTAAATAAATAAATATTCATCTACTGATTATCATTAATATTGCCATGCACTGAAGTTACATATCTTTTGGGTTAATACTAGTAACTAAGTAGTCAATACCAATAATTAGTTTGTTTTTATTCATYATGTAATAAACCAGACCTGTAAAAAATTCGAAAGGAGAAATAAAACTTAGGTGTGTTGAAATATGGCYAAACACAAAACAATGGCGTARAACCAAATTTTAGAACACTCATCATCATTCAATTAATTAAGTTGCTGATAGTGTGRTATGTGTAAAATTAAAATTTAACAATATCAATGTTTGTTTGAACACTTGAATGACATCCTAAATGGAGCCAGGATTGTATTGATTTTATTATTCTTATTTAGTTTATTACTGAATAGTAAGTAAGGTATCTAGTAAATAATTCGTAGTACATTTCTAAWTTGATGGAAAAAAACCAAAAACAGCAGAAAAATTAAAATATCTATGGAACACCATTCTTTGATTAAATTGCTTTTTAGTTGTAGTTAAGAATCTACTTTTTCACTGAATATTCGTTTAAAAGTTTTAGGGCTGTATTCATTCATAGTCTTTGTTAAAGATAAAGAATTTTTTTTTTTTTATTGAGTATAACGAGTAACAACAGCTAATAGCTAGGTCATTAGCCTGTGGTTGTAGATACAATATTAATGGATATTAAAGTTATGATTGAATGTTACATGATTACAGATTAAGTTATACAGTATTATATATTTACATTATATATGGTATGCRTAGATTTAGCTTGCAATTTAGATTTGTTTGTCAATTMCAATGGATTTGAAGAAGCTATAGATCAGTTGGTGTAATGTTCTTCAAGTGCTTCCTCCATTGAAGAAGGTTGGTTGAGAATACTTCTTGCGTTGACATACAGTGGGCARTCTAGGACTATGTGTTTTTGATCTATAGCAGTTCGTTACACTGGATACAGAGAGGATGTTCTTCATATTTATATGTATATAGGTGAAGTTAGTATGACCGATTCTTGTTCTTGTGTTTATGGTTTCGGAACGTCTAGATATATTAGCCTGGGAATGCCATTTGGTAACTTTTTTTTAATTGACTTTAATTTGTTTGACATTGGTATTTCWTCTCAGGATGTTTGCCACTGGTAGTGTGTGTGTTTATGATTTTTTTTATATCTTGGTATGGAAGAGTAGTAATGGATGAGGACAAGGTTGAGGCGATTGTCTCATTTGCCAGTGTATTCGCTTTTTCGTTTCCTGGGATGCCTGTGTGAGAGGGAACCCACATGAATTCAATCACTTTTTGGGTCAAGGAGATGATCTTATGAATTTTGGTAAATTATCTCATTAGAGGAGTTAGGTGCTTTGATGGCTAGAAGGGCACTTAGGGAGTCACTGATTATTAGAATTTTATTTGCGGAAGTTGACTTGGCAAATAATAATGCTTCTTTGATGGCTTGAGTTTCCGCTGTGAAGTTACTGACTTCAGGGAGTAGTTTGAAGCATTTTGAAGTATGGCTTGTGTAGTAAGTGAATCCTACTCCGACACTGGTTTTGGAAGCATCACTGTAAATTTGTTTGAAATTTTAGAATTTGGTATGTAAAATTTCGTTRAAGATTGCTGTAATTGCTGCATGTRGAGTGCTGTTCTTTTTGGAATGAAGAAGCTGCATGTTAATTTTAAGGGACCATTGCAGATAAAGTATTGTTTAAGCTATATTTATGACTCAAATGAGATTCATAAMCTAGACTTTTACTTGAGAAAAGAAAAGTATTACTTGATTTTAAAGTTGGTCCAGACCTACCTTAAGTAATATTATTGCTACCTTATTTTTACCAGGTGGCATGTGTACAATTTTTTTTTGTCTGAATTATATTTATTTTATTAGGAATATTTTTAAACACCCTATATAAAAGATAAATAATCATAACTTACTACAAAGTCAAATCTCTATATTATCTTCAATTTTAATTGCTTGATTATAAAAGCTGAATAATTGTTAATCATTAATAATATATCTGTGATATGAATATAGCCCAATGCACAGTCCCTACTCACATTTTTTATAGGTGACTGATTGGGCACTGAAAATTTAAAATTGATATAAAACATATATTATGGTGACCTCAAGATGAGGTGTAATCAAAACCTACTATACAGCAAAGCAGATTACTCAGATTTTCTATTTTATAAAATTTTGATCAAATTATGTTATACATTGTGACCAATTCCAATTTAACATTGAAAATTAATTAATTAGACCATTATGGCTATTAGGAAAAAAAACTAAAAAAAAAATCAAGCAACATTATAAAGTTGTAAAATCACGTTTTTATTAGATAAAAATAAGGATTTATAAATATGGTTCAGGAAATTCAAAAGTGACTTCCCTACCAGTCAGCTTTCTGTACACTGAAGCGAAAGTATCCACCTGTAATAACAAAATACATATGATTAATAATTCTAAAATAATTATCTATATTATTATAGCTGTAGCCAGATCTTTATTTCAGAGTATTCAAGAAGCTTGTGCATCAAAGTAAGCTTAGTGGGGAAGTGGGGTTTGACTCCAAACTACCTTCAGAAAAATTCACATTTTAATACTTAATAGATTTTTTARACATAGATAAATTAGCTATTTCTTTTTARCTATCAAACATAATACATTGTTTGGACAAATCAAGTGTTAATAACATCAAGCTATAAGTTACAAAACTTTGATATAATGACATATAAAATCTTTATTAATTGATAAGTTATATAGAATACTAAGTTACTTTAAGATTATATTTCACAGTGGCGGCTCGAGTGCTCTGAAAGTGGGAGGGCGATATAAAATTGCTTATTTATGGAAAGTATCGAACACAAATAATTTTAATAATAATAATTTATTTTAATCTGTATAATATTTTAATACATATAAATTATTAATTATTATACATATATATTTTAAATTGTCAACACTTATTTATAGATAGAATTGATTAGAGTTACGACGGCACAAAGTAAATAATAAATACGCAAGTTCGGAATTTGTGCATAACGGCCAACGGGCGATTAAAATCATCGCCCCGGCAGAAGTATTATTATTGTGTTCCCCCTTCTTAGTTTTTGTATTCCAACCATAGTAATGACGAGCGACTTTTAACATCKCCCAAGCATCGCATGTACTGCTTGTAGTGGTAGTCATGGTCGTACCCAGACATTTTTCGAAGGAGGGGCAAATTAATTTTAAAAATAAATGAAAATTTTTATACATTTTATTTATAGTAAATTATTATGTTTCGTCATTATTACAATCATGAATTAAAACTTTACAATTAGGTAGGTATTATTATTACAATTAAAACATTTAAAACATTATTATACCAGAATTTTACCAATTGCTGTGGAAATAACATTATTCCAGGAGGGGGRCAAGTGCCCYGTATTGCCCCCCTGGAGACGCCCATGGTGGCAGTCATTGGCCAGAGAAAAATGAGAGTACAAGAATATACCGGGCTATCACCTCAAATAGCACTGTAAATACTCTACTTCCAATAAGGCAGTATCCGTAACATTCAATTAAGGTGCTATATAAGATTTTTTCAAGGTAACTGTATCTTTGATATTTACAGTTATGACTTACCCAGTGTGACAGGGCCGGATTTAGGGGAGGGCTGAGTGGACTGCAGCCCAGGGCCCCACCAATGTTATGATATTTMAATTAGGATACARRAAAAATATTTTATTTATATATTAAATACTCATATTTACACATATGTAATTAAATAATATTGAACATTATTTGGACATATAAAAAATTTAATTTTACTAACTATAATAATAGATGTATTCGCATTTGTTGACAATAAACGGTGTCTAAGAATCTAGATAAGATAGGTTTTTAARCCATCCGTAATCGGTGTTGATTTTCAAAACRTTATTAATAAGTTTGTACAAATGAAATTAAAAAAAGTTCCAGGCATTTAATTTTAATTACCTGACATTATTATTTTAATTATTCTTTATTTAATTACTTACATCTAATA